AACAACAATTTCGAACAATTTCAATTTTTTATTTTCAATTTTATATAATTTTAAAATGCTGGAAAACTTAAAAAAAAATCATGGCCGACAAATTGAGAGAACGGTTCTACCTTGCTATGTTTGTATCATTGGTTGAAGATAATACTTGCACGTAACTTTATTTCTGTTTGCCCGATGAAAAATACTTACATATGCCATTTAAGAGAAAACATTTCGTTGTTTACAACCATTTATAAATGGTTAATTTGTCTTGAGAATTGGCACCCTTGGTATGAATACTAGTAAACAAAATAGTCGGACACGTCGTAATTTAAAATGAAACAAATAAGAAAGTCTAAGTTCGGGTGGAGCCGAACCTTAAATACCCGGTGCAAGTATTAAATATATGATTTTTCACCTTTCCGAAAGCTACCGCTAGATTGTAAGCCATGGTGTATCAATTTTGAGTAAATTAGCGTCCTTAAATTTCGAAATATTGCAGTTTCAAGCATTTCTGAAATTTACCGTTATATGAAAAGCGTCCGTAATTTTAGTCTGATTTCAATAATTTTCAACGTTTTGCTTTTATGTGCCAAGCACAATAAAAGTACCGAGTTTGGTACAAATTGGTAGAACGGTTACCGATATACATATATGTGATCATAAGCGGGCGGTGACACGCCCATTTCCCAAAATTTTACCATAACGTATTTCTTGGTAAAGAATTGTTGCAAGCATCAATTTTGAATAAATTAGCTTTAATATTTACTGATTTATTGAAGATTTTGTATATCTCTAAATTACCGTTATATGGATATGGGCGTGGTTATTGTCCGATTTTTTAAATGTTCGGCCATTTAGTATGCTGTACCAAGGCGAACAACTGTGCCAAGTTTGGAAGAAATTGGTGCAGCGGTTACCAAGATATACACATGTAACCATAAGTGGGCGTGGCTATGCCCATTTTCCAAAAATTTATATTATTCTTATTTTTCGTCTAAATATTGATGTAAATATCAATTTTGAGTGAATAATCTTCAGTAGTTACTAAAATATAGCAGTTTTCGTATTTCCGAAAATTACCGTTATATGGGATGTGGGCGTGGTTACAGCCCAATACCAACCTACCTTGGATTAACGGGAACCTACATACCAAATTTCGTTGAGATACCTAAATTTTTGCTCGAGTTATCGTGTACACGGACGGACGGACAGACGGACGGACAGACAGACATGGCTTAATTGATTTCTCTTTTCATTCTGATCATTTATGTATACATTTGTCTATATCTATCTCCATTAGTTTTGGCTGTTACAAACAACCGTTATGTGAACAAAATTAATATACCCTTGTGCACAAGTGCGCTCGGGTATAAAAATGTTAAAAATTAAAATTTTGCATATACTCTGTAAGATTCCTTTCAGTGATCGGACTTCTACCACATAGTTGTAGATCTGCCACATTTTTGAGCACATCTACCGCACCAGGTCTGAAATCCACCTCATATTCGCGTTTTTGAGTAGTTTTAGTTTTGCTCAACATAATTTTCTTAATTTTAAGAACAAAAATTGTCCAACACTAAACACTAACAACAGGGAGAATGGGAGGATAAAATAAACTGTAAAATAGTAAATTTTTGTCAATATTCAATTTTTCGACATCAAACGTGGTTTTATTGTGTTAAATTGCAAAATATATGATTTATAAAAAGAATTAATAGCGAAAATGATAAAAAACGGGTATTTTTGTGGAAGGATTAGCAAATTTCAGTGCATCACAAATTTCTAAAGCGTTGTTTACTTTTACTTGAGAATTGTCGAAATCGGCAAATCCCAAATAGCATTTCTGGAACGAGCCACATTTGTTCGCTACATCGCGACGTGATAAAAATAAAAGCTGGCAGCACTCCGCAAGGTTGCAGAAATCTTTCAAAATATGTTCGAAACTGTCAAGGAAAAAAATTGCCAAAACTCAACGCAATTTTTA